TCCTGAAACCCCTTTCAGTGCTCCGTGAGGAGAAATGATTTGATAGACGACGTTAAGGCGTAGGGCTCTGGGGCTTCTCTGTGTGAATGTTGACGCAGGCGCGGTTTCCCAGCCATGGATCGGGACCGAGCACGAGAGGACGCCCTGCGGGCCCGCAGCCGTGTGTGGATAGGCTGGCGTAGCAGCCCGGGACACGGGTCCGAGCGGCAAACCAGCCGGGGGCTCAGGTCTTAGCCTCTCCAGCTCTCTCCTTGGGGAGGTTCCTCAGTCCCCACTTCCTCTTAAATCCGTTTCTTCACCGTGGAATCTGAGATGATAATAGTGCCAACCTCAGAGGTTGTTGGGAAGACTAAGTGTGAGACGCTTCCGAGGGGCCACATAGCACAGGGACCGACATGAGCAAGTTTGGATGAGCATTAGGTATTCAGATACTTGAATGTCAGCTTTGTGTCCGGCGGCTTGTTGGGCGCTGGGGATGTAAAGTAAAACCTACTCCAAGTAAGGCGTGTTGCCAGCTTTGATATGAGTGTGACTGGGCGCTGTGGCCAGACTGGCAGCTGGGGACAGTGTTGGAAGCGAGGCTGAGGACGAGGAGGACGTGGAGCAGGCCAGCAGTTCTCACCATGTGCACTTGGGCTCCTGGAGGTTTGCGAGGTCAGGACTTGCTGTAATAGCACCACGGGGTTATTTACTTATGTTTTGCTCAGGAATGTCCTTCATGAAGCAACGAGAATTATTCGTTGTATTAAATACCACCCTCGAGTGCAGATCTTTTGGCTATTCTGTATGACGGAGCAGGGTTGTGAAGCACTTGTCCCTAAGTTGGGTGTTTGCCTGCAGTTGTGTTTTTTGTTTGTTTGTTTGTAGATTTTATTTTTTTATTTTTAGAGAGAGGGGAAGGGAGGGAGAAAGAGGAGAGAACCGTCAATGTGTGGGTGTCCCTCAAGCGCCCCCTACTGGGGATCTGGCCCGCACCCCGGGCCTGTGCCCTGACCGGGAACCACACCAGCGACCCTTTGGTTCGCAGGACGGCGCTCAGTCCACTGAGCCACACCAGCCAGGGTTTGTTGGTTTTTTGGTGTGTTTTTTTTTACTTTCTAATTGACATTGGTTAATAAAATCCCACAGGCTGCAGGTATACAAGTCTGTGATAGGTTGTCTGCAGCTGTTTCAGTTGAGAGACAGGCATCTTCTCAAACACAAAGTGAGCCTATCACTTCATTCAAGACAACTCATGGTATTTGTTACCAGCGATAAAATTCAAAATTTCAAACAGAATTCAAAGCTGGAAAACTTACCCACAACTGTAACCACGGCAGCCTCCGTTTTTTACTCAGAAAAGTATTTGCAGACTTTTCTGAGGAAATCCGTGATATTAATGACTCTGAATTTTTTTTAGTATTTATTTATTTTTAGAGAGGGAAGAGGCCAGAGTGAGCAAAGCTCCTGGGGGGTCGGGGGAGGGTGTGGCGGATGAGCAAGCGCGCGCGTGCACCAGGCTGCGCAGGGCTCTGCGGGCAGGTGATGGATTAGCGATTGAGTCGGGGTGGTAGGCGACGAGTTTGACTTCCATAAAACACTTGTGCGGTCTTTTCCTTTGGGAACTGACCGTCCCCGCTGCGGGGCTCGCGCCTGTGCAGGGCCTGGCACGCAGGGGCCACACGGAACGGGCACCCACGAGCTGGGCGAGCGCTTCTCTGACATCGACGTGACTCCGTCTTTGTGTTTTCCTTTAGGCCCCACTGATGATGGTGAAGAGGAGATGGAAGAGGACACAGTCACAAACGGGTCCTGAGCAGCGTGGCCCGAGTGGCCACAGGACATGTGACATCCACTTGGGACGAGTCCTGCGTTTTGAATGTGGAGTGATAGCCTTGTCTGTGTCAGCAAAGAGTTCATAAGCATTGTCAAAGTGCTGCAAACTGCTGCTGGTCATTTTTTAATATCAATTTTGAAATTTAGATGCCTGTTTTCTACAAATAGTAAAAATAAAGGACACTCGCTGTGCTGCCAAGTCGTGTGTCGTTGGGCTGGGGGTGCAGGGAGGTGTGTGGACGCCTTTATGTTGGAAATGCGGGGGGGGGGCAGGGGCTGGGAGGGGCGTCGTCTCTAACTAGGCTCCCTGGTCCTCTAGGAAATGCTTAGATCTTTAAGCCCTTAAGACTCGGGAGTATGTGTGCTGCCAGTGATTGTAAGAAGCTGCCTTCTCCGGAGCGTTTTTGTCCTGCAAAAAAAGAAAAACGAGCTTCCTTACAGGCAGCCAGACTAGCATCCTTTGGAGTTTTTATTTCGTGAACATCACACATATAAGGAATGACTGGTTTGAAGAACTGGAGGGGAATGCAGCCTTCGCGTACCGGCTGAGGGGATTCGCAGGGTGGCACGTGCCAATGTTCGGGACGTCACGGGGCAGGCACGGCTGCCCCCGCGGGCCGGCCAAGGCGAGCGTCCTCGCGACTCCTGCGTGCGCTGTTACAGTTCTCCCCCCCCCCGCGTTACAGCCCGTTGACGCTACTCTAAAAAACCAGGGGGAGGAGGTGAGGGCCTTGAAACCACCCCAGCACTTGGGTTTTAGTTGGCAACGGCTGTTGACTCACAGCTGGCTCTGCTTTTCCCACCGGTCGGTGGAGAATTTGGTTAAGCAGGCAAAGGAGCCGGAGGGGAACGCCAGAGGCTTCTCAGGCCTACACGCACTGTTGACGCAGTTCCTTCTGCCTACTTGCCGTTAACCAGAGCAGCCCGCCTGGCTGCGTCCCAAGTCCAAGGCTGGGGAGACACTCCCACCTTGAGGCTGTGGTGAGGATATGGTTGTAAAGATTGGGGCAGATGAGTCTTAGCAGGGTCAGTCAGTGACGGAATGCTGGATGCTACCTTGTCCTGTTTGGGCAAACAGCACCTGAGCGGTGCATTGAGCAATTGTTTGCTGAAATAATTGTAGTTCTTGGCAAGCTAGGTGAGGGGACACGCCCGGATTAAAGGGACAAAGGTTAGGAAGAATGGGACCACAGGACAACAGTATGTGAGGAAGCGAAATGGGAGACCACCATTCATGCATTCTAATAACTCAAAATATTAAATTCGAGTTGAATAAGCCTGTCATATTGTGTGCATACGCACACACAGATGCTCTGTAGTGCACAATATGGTGGAACCTTGGTTCTTGAACTTCATTTGTTCTGAAAGGTTGTTCGAAAAGCGATGTGTTAGAAAAACATCATTTATACTCGTGCATTCTCTCTTTTGTCACCTGAGAGACACGTGACTGATCATACAGACTTTTTTTTTCTGTGAATGACTCGATTGAGAATGAAATTGTTCAAAATGGGAGACGGTTGCCCTGATCGGTGCGGCTCAGCGGGTTGGGCCTTGTCCCATGGACCAAAAGGTTGGCGTTTTGGTTTTCATGCCTAGGTTGTGGGCCAGGTCCCCAGCTGGGGGCGTGCAAGAGACGACAGAAACACGTTGATGTTTTTCTCCCTCCCTCCCTCCCTCCCTCCCTCCCTCCCTCCCCCCACTCTAAAATTAAATAAAACCTTTGGGGGGAAAACAAGAAAGAAGGAGGCTGTCTTATTTTTTGGGGGGGCGGGGCGGGAAGCAGCTACCCTGGCCTGGCCCAGTGGATTGAACCCCAGCCTGCAAACCGAAGGATGGCCCATTCGATTCCCAGTCAGGACACATGCCTGGTTTGCAGGCCAGGTTCCCAGTAGGGGGCGTGTGAGAGGCCACCACGCGTTGATGGTTCTCGTTCTCCCCGTCCCCTCTCTAAAAATAAATAAAATCTCTAAAAAAGAAAAAAAGGATGGGAGGCATTCAAGAATCGAGGCTTGACTGTATACTTAAAGCTGCTCCCAGAGCAAGTATTACAACCGTAAACCCAGGAAATCATTCAATTTTAGCACTAGCTCTTCAAGCCAGAACAAATGAGAAACCACCTCAAAGCAACGCGTGGTGGCTCACCTTTGCAAATGGGAGGAAAACATTGAGAAGGCAGTCGTAGCTCTGGTCAGGTAGCTCAGTTGGTTAGTGCTTCATCCTGACACACCAAGGTTGTGGGTTCAAGCCCCAGTCAGGGCACATCTGTTACTTCAACTAGTGAATGCATTAAGAGGTGGAACAACAAACTGATACTTCTCTCCTTTGAATCAATGAGTTAAAAAAAATTTTTTTTAAAGGTCTTAAAAAATTCAACCTAATGTGAAGATCTCACTGGCTTTATTAAGTGAGCGATGAATCAGGCAGCGTCTTATCTAACAACGAGAGGCGCACTCAGGGGTTGTAAAAAAAGTGGAAGGTTTTTAGAGGAAGAAAGGTGTATTTGACGTCTTGCTCCCCTGGTATATATTGTCAGCTTGGCCCAAATTTAAAGTAAAAAAGAAATAAAGGATTTTCCAGACTGGTCGGCTAGTTTCTGGGAGAGATTGAGGCAGCAATTAGGTCAGGTATTAAAACTAGGTTTAGTATCATGGGAGTCTATAGGTCTTTCTCTTTTAAAACTGCATTTCTGTCAGCTTTTGAGACTGCTAGGTATGTTCATTTCAAAACCTTTCCTCCCCTCAAACCCCCGGCAAGTCAAGTTACAAATAGGATGGGATAAGGTAGGCCTCAGAGAGGTGGCGGCAGGTGAGGAGTGAAGTGGATGGAGTGGGCATGGCAGACAGCGGAAACGGCACCCATAACCTGGAGTGTTTTGTGACTGTGAAATTGAGCGTTGTGGCCATTGCTATAATTCATCCTCAAGGGGTTTTGATTCCGGAGGGGAGCAGAAACATGAGGATCGGCGGGACCTTCTTAGACTGAAAGGTAACCCCGGCAGTAGGAGCAGGGTGCCCTGCTCGGGTACAAAAGTAAACACTCGGTAAATCCACAACTAGGTCAGTGACTGGCCCCCTGGCAGGAGGCACGGCTCCCCAGGGCTCAGCCCGCTCCTTTGGCCCCGCCCACCTCACCGTGATTGGACAGGCCACCTAAGCCACGCCCCGAGTACGTATACGTGGGGGCGGGCCGGAAGGCGACGGCCAGAGCTGACGCGGCGGACCGGCCAGAGCTCCGGCCGCCATGGAGAGGGACGGGGAGCAGCTGTCCGCGCGCCCGGCTCTCGAGTCGGAAGGGCTACGCTTCCTGCACGTCACTGGTGAGTTGCCACGGGCCGCGGAGAAGCGGGGTGGCGCCGCCATGTTCGGTACGTCGTCCTCCGTGGCGCGGCCTGGGAAGGCCTCGGTCCCGCTGGAGCCGCGCTTCCTTGGGCGGCGCGCCGGGCCGGGCCGGGCCGGGCCGGAGGAGGCGTTACTTTCCTGGAGCCGCGCTTTCCCGGGCGGCGCCGCGCGGCCTTTTATTTTTTGCGAAGCAAGCCGTTGGGTTGCGGTTCCTGGGATTACTGGGCCCTTAGGCGTTGGCCTCGGCCTCCAGGCCTCACCGCCCAGCCCTCCCTTGCCCACACTTGAAACGCCGCGCGCCGCGCCAGCCTCCCACGGGCGCCCCTTTCTCTCCGTTCCCGGGGTGCGGGAGGCCTTTGCCCTCCTGAGTTGGAGGAAGTACCGTGTCCCCAGCAGTATCGTTTGTTAGCTTCTCGCAAACTTTTTTTTTTTTTCTTCTTTTTAGTGGGCTCCCTGCTGGCCACCTACGGCTGGTATATCGTCTTCAGCTGCATCCTTTTGTACGTGATCTTTCAGAAGCTCTCCACCCGCCTGCGGGCCTTGAGGCAGAGGCAGCTGGACCGGGCCGCGGCTGCTGTGGGTTAGTACTTGATTGCAAAGGCAGGCTGTTTGTTGTTGGGAGTAAGAAGTAGGTGGTTCTGATCAATGTGGGAGGGGAACCCTTGTATGCTTCTGAAATCGATTTCGGTGAATGAGCAACAGATTTTTCTCATGGCCGAGATTTTAATTGAGAAATCTGCCTGGGGAGGGGGTCACATGGAAAACTGCACAGACCTTGGTGAGTGAGGAGAGGCTCAGGTGCTCATCAGACCGGACTTCAGATTACACGTGGTGGTTTTAAAAGTCATCGTCTCTGAAATAGCCGCCTTTTCACTAGTTAGAGGCCACAGTCCGCGAGGGCATCCCAAAGAAACGTTAAGTGCTTTGAGAATAGCACCATTAAATAGCGAGGGGAGCAACACAAGAGTCACTCGTTCACACACGCCGCTCTCCTCTCCCACGCAACCAACTGTGTGGTCCTGCAATTCTTTGTGGTCGTTGGCCACAGGTCCGACAAAATACGATTGTAAATCTTGCGTTAAGAGGCAGGATTTCACGAAGTGCCAGGTGGCGGCGATGGGGCAGCATGTCAGAAAGGATTGTTTTTAGGAAGCACTGGAGAAAGTGTGTCGCACTTCCACAGAGTGGAAGTATGATTTTTTCCCAAAGTTTCCGTCATCTCTACCACCGGCACCCCCACACCCCTGTGCTGTTTTGATGATGACATTTTGGCCCCTTGTTTGCGTGGCCTCAGTTAAGCAGCCTTTTTCCTCAACTACCTGTGGGTAATGTTGATCCCCTGTACCTCAGATGGTGCTGATGTGAACATACACGTTCTAATTTTTCCTTTAAAATGTCCATCTTGAACAGAGCTTTGGTGCTTGACCTGACAAACCCCGTTCATGCCGACATCTGTGTGATCAGCCAGTCGCCTTTAAGATTCGGTTTTCAAACAAACAAATCACTTTTGTTTGAAAAGTGATCTGTTTGATGACCGAGTCATTTTTTTCCCATTAGAAATAATGGAAATCGTCCTGGATGGCGTGGCCTGGTGGATTAAGGGTTGCTGGCTTGACTCGCAGTCAGGACACGTGCCTGGGTTGCCAGCCAGGTCCCCGGTAGGGGGTGGGCGAGAAGGAACTACATGGTGATGTTTCTCTCCCCCACTTCCTCCAAAATAATGCCAGTGGAATTGTTTCACATGTCTAATGTACTGTTTAATCTATGGATACTTCAAACTTTGTCAGGGTGCTGTCTGTCCATCAATAAAACTGCTTTTCTCCCCTTTCCCCAAGCCTTTCCTTGAATAGTGAAGCAGGAGTATGCTCCCTTCCCTCCTCTTCTACCTCTTTCAAATTGGGTACATAAATACTGGCTAGAAGGCTTTTTCTGTCATCTCCTTGCTATCTTCTAGACTTCTGGTCGACCTAGAGACTGGTGTTGGGTGCATCCACGTCATGGAATGAACTCTGTGCGCCCAGTTGGAGCACTTAATGTGTCAGGGAGCTCAGAATTCCACACTTGTTACAGCTGTGGGACACAGTGCTCTCTCTGTAAGCAGCCAAATATATTGGATACGACAGCTTGTACTTTTATTTCTAATAACAATTTCCATTTTACACAAGGCGCTGTGGCTGATTTTGTTTTTGTTCATCGTAGAACCCGATGTTGTTGTGAAACGACAAGAGGCCTTAGTGGCTGCTCGTCTGAAAATGCAGGAAGAATTAAATGCACAAGTTGAAAAGCATAAGGAAAAACTGAGACAGGTATGAATCTGTATCTGGGGCTCTGAGAAATCACAACCTGAGGCCATTTTTATTTTGGGGCATCAATGCAAGTGGGAAGGAAGACCTGCAGGTGAGTCTGGGAAATGACTGGTGCTTGCCCTTGAAGAGATCAGGGTGTTCCCCCCCCCTCCTGATATTTTTGGGGTCCTCTAGGCTCAGCAGTTAGTTGGATATGTGTCCTCCTTTCACTTCCCTTTTTTGGTTCTAGATGGCCATGTGCTTCACAGCTGCTTTCTTCAGCTCTGGTCACGCATCTGGTCAACCCCCCCCCCCCAAAATGGGGTGGGACATCTGGTCGACCCACACAGACACCTTTCACAACCACCCCTTTTGTTTCCCTTTCTCTCTTCCTCCCACACAACCCCAACTCCACTGAGAGCTGCTTCCCTTCCCACTTTGAATTACCCCTTTTGGTTATTAAAAAACTCCCCATCCCATAAAACCAACTTGCATGCACTCCCACACACTCACTCTTTCATAGCAGGCTTACTCTAAAAAAAGAAAGTCCTTTTCTTTCCTCCAACTACATACAGGTTTGAGAGTTGTTCTTCCCCCTCTTCTCCTCCCCCAACAGCCACCTAAACCCAGTAGCATAGCCCATATGCCTAGAGACACCAAGAGCAGGTCACCTATCACATACCCCCCAAAGGAAAGAACCACTTTTGGGGGTATGTTATAAAGGCTTCTCTAACCCAAGTTTAGAAGCTCATCTTCACTGTGACTCCCCCTTAAAAAACCTCTTACCTTAGAAGAGTATCTTACAAAACACTCTCTAAAGGCAGCCCTCACTAGACATGCAGTTACACACAGGCTTTCTTTCTGTTCACACCTCCACCACTTGGTTGTCCCCTCTTCCACTTTGCAAAGGCCCTGTAGAGGTAAAGACAACACTTGATTTCTCCCCCCCCACCCAAGAAAAACCTAACGCCTCTTTCTCACAAAGCTTGAGGAAGAAAAAAGGAGACAGAAGATCGAAATGTGGGAGAGCATGCAAGAAGGAAAAAGTTACAAAGGCAATGCTAGAAAGCCTCAGGTAAACAAAGACCCCCTTTTTTTTTTGGCTGAGTCTTGGGTCAACACCAAGGTCTAAGGTTTTAAAGAGCCACTTTATCTTCAAAAGCAGGAAGAAGACAGCCCAGGGCCTTCTACCTCCATAGGCATTCCCAAGCGAAAGCCAGACAGAAAGCCTTTGCGTGGAGGGGGTATGTACCCACAATACACCTAAATTTAGATAGAGCACTACACATCACTTCTTGTGTTTTGGAGAAACATGCACTCAAAAAGGACCAAGACCCTCTCTCATCTAGGGTGCAATAAACTACCCCCCTCTTCCAGTAAGGCACAACTAGATTTCACTTACTTCCCAGTGGACCTCACACACTTACACCTACATAAAAAAAGAAGGCCCCCTAGAACAATGAACCCTACCCTTATAACAGGCCTCTCCTAACTACTCATTTGCTTCCTCTCACCCTCAGGCTACAACCCTTTGTCTGGGGAAGGAGGTGGTACATGCTCCTGGAGACCTGGACGCAGAGGCCCAACAACTGGTGGATGAGGCTAAGAACCTTGCTGGTGTCCTCCCCCCCTTGACATCAAGCAAGGTGAAACCCTTCAAAGCCTCCCCTCCCCCCTTTCAATTGCCTTACGCACACTTTTTTCACAGTGACTAAAAAAGCCTAGAGGCCATCCAGGTTCTGTCCTAGCCTCCAACACCTATTACAACCACAATTTAAAGGAGTTTTTAAAAAAAAAAAACAAAGCAGCAAAGGCATATCAAGCAACAAAGCTATTCAAATATTTGAAAACTCCTTACTGCTAAGGACAGTCTCTGTGACAGGTTGCGTTGAATGATGTCTTCCTTGTAAACGGTGAAGTCCACCAGCAAGGATTACTGAAGCTGACAACTGTTGATGGGGTTTGGGTTTTTCTCCCCTCCCTATTTATGTTCATTGTACAGACAAACCTTTGGGAAATAAACTAGGAAAAACTGCACACTTAAATAGCATCCTTAAAAAAACTTAGAGGGTAAGTTTAATCAGTTACACTGCTCTTAACTTCTCAGTAACTATTCCCAGCCTGAACTCAGGAGAGTGGCAACAGCATCATAATGGATTCCCACGGGCCCCAAAGCAACTGGCTTCAGTCTCCAATTAACCTTAGTAACTTGAAAAAATACTGTTGTCCCCCACCCCCTCCCACAAGGGAGGGGGCAGAGGTACAGCACACTCACATACCCCACAGATAAACCTGGGTGGAATAAAACAAAACAAAAAAAAACAGCTAGGACTACCTAAGATAAAACCTACACTGCCCTCAAAAGCCCTAAGGAACTAAAGACTTTACTCCCTATAGTAAATAGGGGACAAGACAAAGCACACATAGCAGAGAACACACAAGCACTTGCAAATTGAGGGACTCACAATGCTCCCACACCCCAAGAACACCAGGTTGAATTGCCACCACTTACCATATATACACCAATACCCTAATATTGGCCCCAGTGGTTGACTCCCTTTCCTGGAAGACCTACAACCCCAGGACCATCACACAAGGGTGAGGCTAACTTTTAAGTCAGTGTTTCCAAGAAAAAGCCAGTCAACAAAGGTGGCCCAGGAAAGGGCATGAAGGTTGTAAGAAAGACACAGGAACTGCTCCCTGACATATGTATCATGTAAGAATACATACAGCAGCCCCCAGGTAGGGGGGTTTCAGACCCATGAATCCCATGTACCAGGCAAGTAAGGGGGGTAATTAAGGCCTCATCACCAGGAACAGCCATCTCATCACCACCAGGCTAAGCCCACCCTCAAAGCCAGATCTTAAAAACACAGGAAGCACAGAGGATAATGCAGAGCCTTACAAGTCTTGTGTTTAAGTGAATATCCCCAAACACATTGCCCTTCCCCTGAACGACCAGGTAAGGACACAGTAGCACAGAGAAGCCCAGTCAGTGGGGCAGACTCCGGCAGGCAGAAACACCAGGTCAGCGGCATCCATATCGCTGTTTTCCCACTCACAGCAGAGTAAACTGAAGGACCCAGAACAACCAAGTGAGCAGGCGTTCGCACCACACGGGGTAGACTCAAGGGCGGAGAACGACCGACTGGGTGGGGTTTACACCGCTGTTTTTCCCCCCACACCACATGGGGTAGACTCAAGGGCACAGAATGACCAAGTGAGCAGAATCCTATGCTGTTTTTCCCCATACTGCATGGGGTAAACTCCAGCGAGCAGGAAGGCCAGATTAGCGGCACCCGTACCATTATTCTCCCCGCACCGCACAGGGTAGGCAGACAGGCGCACAACGACCACTTGAACTAGTTCTGTACTGCTGCTTTCCCCACACCCCATGGGGGCACAGACTGAAGAGTGCAAGAACAGCCAAGGCCAGCGAGGTCCATACCATTCACTTCTTTCCCTGCACCACACAGGGTAACACTTAAGCAGACAGAAAAACCAAGTCAGCGGGGGTTCTGTACCGCTGTTTTCCACACATCATTCCTTGGGCCAAGAGCACTGAAATATCATGGGGGGTCATACCCCTCCAAATTGGCAAAGTTTTATGCCCAGCCTGAGGCACGAGAACCACACAAAATGATTTAGCTTTTGTGAAGCTGCAAGCTGAACGCCCAGAGAGACGGCAATCGAAGGAATTTCTCACAAGTCTGAGTCAGTGACAGCCCAAGCAAGCACAAGCTATGGGCTGAGCACCCACCATGACCACAGACTGAGGCGCTTGAGAACATGCCACCAGCCAGGTGAGAAGCACACACTCACTGGCCATTGGAACTCAGAACAGTACTAGAACTGATGCATGGAACTGTTCTCCAACAGAACCATTGAAAACACACGTTGTAGGCTGGGTAGGTTTGTCTGGTGGCAAAAGTCAAATCCAGAAAGTTTGCTATCCATGAAGCAAACTTTAGCCAGCCACCACATGCTTACCACTAACCTGGTGGTACAAATCACCTTTTTCTGGCCAAAAAACAATACCTCACCTATAGGCGGGGCCGAGCCACAGGCCATGCAGGCAACCTGGAACCTGGCCCAGTCACTGATCCTCTCCACCACCCCTTTGCTGTGACCGTGGAGCTCCCACAGCCATCTGGTCAACCCTACAAATCAAAGCACACAAAACCACCAATCACTTGAACTTCAAGGTAGAAACATTCCCCCAGGTATGCGCTGCAAAATTGTGACCAGCCGCCACAGAGCTCCCCCTTTTCACATGACCTGGTGCAAGCTCCCACCTCTAGGCTTGACTTAGAGCTGCACAAGGGTGCAACTTCCCGCAAACCCACTTTCTGACGCCTGGATACCGCCCCCCCGTACCAAATGATCACAGCTAGTATAGTGCCACCAGCCTCTTAGAACTCCCTCAGTCACTGCAGCTAGAATCTACCCCTTAATCTATTACCTTATTCTTTGAAACAAAACTCTGAAATTCAAAGAGCATACCTTCTTCCAGGGATCAAAGCCTTCCTACCACCCGTGGCTCCCCACCGTCGTGGGAGAGCTCCGAAAACTTTGAAAGAGCACGGATTCGATGAGCGAGGTCCGCTATTGGCTGTCCACAGCCGAGCCCGTTTTGCCTGCCCCGTGGCCAATTCCTGCCTCTGGCGATGCACCGCTTCTGTAACCCGTAGCCCTTTATAGAGGGCGAAAGGGTACGGGAAATTCGTTGGTCAACCGGTGCCAGCGACTTCACCCTGTTAATGGAATTTGCTGTAACAGCTAAGCTATCCTTAAGGCACAAAGCAAACTGCAAACACAGTGCATCAAAAGCCTGGATTTATGCGGGACAAAATTTAGGGAGTACCAGCCGCCTCGCCGAGATCTCTCTGGCGCTACGGTGATGCCCCAACTCCTTACACCCTGCTGCCCTTCCGAGCAGGAATTTAAAATGCAAGAGTATCTTCGGTGAAAAAAGTGCTGAACTTTCCCTTTACGTACCACACACCTGGACTCCCACTTGCAAAACAGGCCGACCCCCCAAAAGTGAAAGGGCCCTAACTACTGAGTGAGGTTCCACCAAGGACCCGTAGCCGAGCTCACCCACGGGGCAATAGGAAAAACACTCAGCCCCCTGAACTTTTGTGTCGGGCACATCAATCACACCTGTCCCACCTCACCCATGCTGCTTCGTACATGGACTACACAACCGACAGACCTACCAAAACGAAGTTTTTATCTCTGGCTCCCAATCCTCCGTAAAAACCTCTGAAAACTAACCACAACCTGGCATGTGCATTCCCATACGTGTCTACAATTAATTCCACCTTGCCTGCCCCAACGGTGGCTCCCCACCTCCAGAGTGGACGCCTTAAAGTGGTCGAAGTGGGAAGCACCCTCTTTCCATAGAGCCACAATGCGCCCCCACGCTGGCGGAGCTCTGACTCTTTTACTGATCAACCAAGCTCTCTGCGCCCACAACCAAAGGTTACAGCACAACCCTCTACCAACCCGCCGATACAATCTCCGGAGAACCGATGAAGCACGGACACCCGGGCGTAACCGGGTTAGGCCAGAAAGCGCCACCGGCCTCCTGGAACTCCCCCTCAGGCACTGCGGCCAAAGTCCACTCCTTAGCTATTACCGTACTCCTTGTGACGAGGCTTCGAAATCCGGACTGCCTCTTACCGGGGACCGAAACCTTCCTACCATCCGTAGCTCCCGCTTACAAACCGGACCGGTCCGCAACCCCCGGGGGAGAGCTCCGAAGATTTTGAACAAAAATCTGATGAGCGGGTCTCTCCTCGCGTGTCCGCGGCCACCGAGTCCGTCTCGTCTGCCCAGGGGCCGGTTACCACCTCCGGCGTCCCGCGCGAGAAACATTCTCCCGTTTCCCTGGAACCCCACAGGGCTCCGGCGGACGGAGGTGCACCGACAGTTTGCTGGTCAACCGATCCTGGCAGCCCCCTACCTTATGGCCAGACACAGCAACGCCTAAACTACCCAACCCCTCTGGCCTGCAGATACAATTCCCGAAGAACAGATGAGGCGCGGACATCAGGGCGTAACCCGGGTGATTCTGAAAGCGCCGCCGGCCTCCCGGAAACCTCCCTCGGGCACCGTGATCAATTCTCTTCCCTTACCAATTGCCACGGAGCTCCGGAGGGAGGCAACACTATAAAAGCCGCCACCAGGTGGCGCCTGAAAACCGGCGCAAACGTCAGCGGGACCGATGGGGGCTGGCTAGGGCGCACCGCCGGCTCCCCGCATGCCCAACCTCATCTCGCTCACCTTAGAGCGCATCTTTTGCAGGGCTCAGAGAGGGCGGAGGGCGGCCGGCAAGGCCCGGAGCGTCCACCGTGGAGTTCAGGACCGGCATGGCGCGACCACGGCGGCAGAAGGGGGATTTGGAGATTTTTTTTCGGGAGGCTGCCGGGATGGGGACAGACTCCCCACGCCATTCCCTAGCGGCCGACACGGACATGTAAACTGCCCGGGGACGCGGGCACTGGCTTCCCAGGGGCGCACGAACGGTTCCCGGACTCCCTAATCTGCAGCCGGTCGTGGACTGTAAAACGGAAACCATGCAAGTCCTCAAAGGACAGAGACGGATGGCTGAGTCGTTTTTATTCCGTAATTGAAACAGGGCTTACCGGAAACCAGACCCTAGTATTTGTTTTCGTTTTTTTCTCCCTAGGGTTTTGTTTTTTGCCTTTCGGGGAAGTAACAGCCGGCCTTCTCTCCGCACCTCCGAGATTACCAGACTGAGTTGAATCGGGTGTGTCCCAAAGATTTAGGCAGGAGAGAAAACCAACAAATGAACCAACAACCCGGACAGGTGGCCAGATGCGCGCAGACCCTATCCTCGCGGACGCTATTCAGAAGCGAGGGATGCCCAGTGATTTGCGCTTGGCCGGGCATCTCGATGTTGCCCAATCAGACCCTGTCAACCTGAAATTCTTTTTCTTTCCCTAACCTTTCCTCTTTCTACATTAGAGGGCTTAGTTCCAAGACTGTCCAATCAAGACTCCCAAATT